TGGTCAAGAAGCAGCTAGACTTGCAGTCTCTTGTCTTTATTTAAACTGTTCAAAGTGTAACCTGGACCAGGGACCTAAAAGACATTTAAGGGTGACATTTTATGTGGCATGCATAAGCCTAAAGTGTGTGTGTGTATGTGTGTGTGTGTGTGTGTGTGTGTGTGTGTGTGTGTGTAAGTAAAATCTTCTATTCAAAGCCAGCTCTTCCTTGGACAGTAGCCATGGCTAACCACACACTTTATTTCAGTAAAGAGCTTTTCTTTTATTAATTTCCAAGTGTGAAGAGTGATTTCTCCTTGGGAAGGTAGATTGTTTCTATAACACAGGCACTAGAACAATATATGGCCCTGGGTTCAGTCTGTAGCATAAGGGATATATATATATATATATATATATATATATATATATATATATATCATATATGTCTGTCCCATATTCTCTGTATCACTTAGAGTGCACAATAATACATGCCCATATTCCCATATTCTCTAGATCATTTAAAGTATACACTATTGCATAAAAGCCATGAAATTCATTCTGTAGTTTAGGGAATAATGATAAGAAAACATGTTTTATTATTATTTACCAATTTGCTTATTTTGAGACAGTTTTATATATCTCAAGCTGCTCTTGAACTCTCTGTGTAACCTAGGATGAGCCTAAACTTTTTGGTCATCCTACCTCCAACCCAAGAGCTAATACTACAAGCATTCGCCCTTACTTGCATTTTATGTGGTGGTAGGGACCAAACCCAGAACCTTTTGCATGCTAGGCAACCACTCTACCAACTGAGCTTACATCCCTAGCCCTAGAACAAAAATTCCGTGTTCACTACAGACAGAATTTTTTCGTATTCTCGGTTGCTGCTTGTTGGGTTTATATATGAATATGGAAGCTGGCTATGCTTGCATTTATTGCTAGTACTTCACATCATTTATAATGCCCAACGGTTACTGTTATGATTTAATGCCTTGAAAAAGAAGCTTAGGCTTTAAAGACTGTGTGTCCTGATCACTGGAATCACAGAGCCCAGGACTTCATACATGCTAAGTGAGTACTATACCTACTGAGCTACAACCCCAGCCTTCCTCTCTGTGGCTTTGTAACTTCTCAATACCAGTAGGCACTATGCTTTTGACCACGTAACAATTTGCTTCATCTACTGACCTGAGAACATAACCTGAGAACATGTGGATGATTGTCACCACTTCTGAGTCATGGACTCCTGGAGGATCTACTGACTTTTCTTCCCTTGAAGAGTGTCAGAACAAATGGAAACAGAGTTTAGCTATAGTTTTTTTCGGGACTTACCTGCATGAAACCTATAGTGGGGTCTTATTTTCTACATATATACCCTTTGTTTATGTTTTCATTTTTGGTATTACTATTTGCAAATTCTACTTCAGTTAATCAGATCTGTTCAGGTTATTTTTTTAATTATTGAGTTCATTAGAATGCCATGAGGCTAAAAATAGATTTTCCTTATTTGTTGAAGCATAATATTGAGTCCTGAGAGTGAGTTTGGAAGCACAATGTTCGTTATTGACTTTTTAAGTACCATATTATTTATCACCATGATTGCCAAAACTAGAGTTAAGAGCCAAAGTAATAGATATCAATCAGCTAAATTAAAAAAAGTGTTTTATCTATATGAGTTTTTCCCTGCATGGATATGTGTGTACCATGTGTTCAGTGCCTGCAGAAACCAGTACTGGGTGCCAGATCCCCTGGAGCTGGAGTTATAGGTGGTTGGGAGACGTGGGTGACTGAATCCAGATTCTCTGCAAAAGCAGTATGTGCTCGTTACCACCGAGCCATCTCTCCAGCCTCTTCCTCGTCAGTTCAAATTTTATCTGAGTGATTTTGAACATAAAATCTAAACTAAAAGCATATTTATTTATTTATTTATTTATTTAGGACAAGGAGTTACTATGCTGCTTAGGCTAGTTCTTGAAGTCCTATGTTCCTCCCTTAGCCACCATAGTAGCTGAGACAAACACAAGCGCCAAATATAGGCAGCTGAAACCAAACAAAAGTCCCACTTTACTTAGAGAGGTGTAAACATGTTGAGAAGCTGGTCATTCTGTGGGTCTCATATCCAGTTAGGAAAAAACTTGACAGTTGCCAAAAATGCTTATCTGATGAGATCGAGAGGACAAAAGTGGATAATTAGTACACCAGGAACAAAAGCACTTCAGTTCCTTCCTGCGGGATTTTCAGATCTGCTTTTCTTAAGTGGCTTTCTTTAAAGCTGCAAAACTAGCTGGACCTGGTGGTCTATGCCTTCAGTCCCAGCAGAAGCAGGGGACTGTCTTTGAGTTCAAAGCCAACCTGATCTCTATAGTGCATTCCAGGCTAGCCAGGGCTACATAGTTAAGACCCTACCTCAAAAACAAAACAAACAAAAAAACCCTCAAACTAAACACATTTCTTTGCAGCGCTTATAGGAGTGCTATGCTCTTACTGGGCTTCAGATAGGAACCATTTTTAAAAACTAAATCTTTTGCCATCACAGAGATTACTCTGGAGATATCCTCAGTGTGTACATATCTACATATTTATACCCAAACATGGATCTGAACTCTGAACCCCAGGTTCCTTTCTATTTGAAATGAAAGTCGTCTTTTGCTTTTCTCAGAAAGAATTCTGTAATATTTGTGAGAAGTGTTCTTCAAATCCACAAAAACTCAGGTGATTCAAAGAAAGAAAAAAAAGGGTTGGTGATGGGGGTGAGGAAACTCTAATAAGGATCATCTTGTTTTTCTTGTCAGATTCCAGGTACAAAATCCACCTGGCCCAACTAGGAGGCTCTTCTTCCACCTCACAGCGAAATTGTTTTGTTTTGTGTGTTAGCACTGAGGGATGTCTGTTGTCACTACTTTTGTGATCTCAGTTGCCAAAGAGAGGAGACACGGATTTTTTTTTCTTAACCTGGGACCTGCATGAAGAACAGCGGTAAAACAGAGACGAAAGGAATGATGCAGCATTATCCATTTATTTCCGCCACTCTGCAGCCTTATTTCCAACACCGTTGAGTACTCTGTGGGTGGCAGGATCGTGTGTGGGAAAGAGCTTAGTTATAATAGCTGACATTTATTGAACGCCTGCTATTCTAAGCACATTATATGTATTAACTCATTTGATCCCCATGACAACCACATGGATTAGCAGAGTTCAAATCCTAACTCCTCCACTTCCTTGTGGTAGAAAGTTGTGCAACTTCACTGTTTTGGGTGAGCTGCAACTACCAAACCTGAGGGTTGGTGTTAGCATGAAACGAAAAGGCATTTGTAATTGGCTTTAGTATATAAAAGAATTCACTGGAACATAAAACTCAGTTTAGACTAAGATTTGTACGTTAATGTTCATTGCAGCATAATTCATAATGGCTGCAAACTTGAAACAATCCAAATGTGATTTTAAAAGATTCTATAGAATCTATGACATATAGATTCTATAGAATGCTACTGAGCAATGAAAGGGAAAATCAGGGATATGGGAAAGGAGGTGAGTTGCAGAAAGGCATGAACAGAGGGAACTGTTTTGTATCTTGATTATTGTAATTATACAACTGCATATAATTACTAAGTTTCATTAAATTATACACTTAAAATAGGTGAAATGTAATGCATGTAAATTATACCCCAAAGCTTGAAGTTGCTACAAATTATAAAACTGCTGAACATTAGTCTTTCTTGTATTTTGGAAAAGGTGAATGAAAAAAAATCTTAGAATGGATATTTTTTAGAGACCGTTTGCATTTTCTAAAGAACTATTCATTTTATTTTGAAGTATCTGTGTGTGTGTGTGTGTATGCGTGTGTGTGTGCGCATGCCTCAGAGGAGGGTGTTACATCCCCTGGAGCTGGAGTTACAAGCAGTCACGAGCTCTCTGATGTGGCTGCTAGGAAATGAACATGGGTCCTCTGCAAGAGTAGCATGCACTCTTAACAGCTGAACTAGCTCTCCAGCCCTATTAGAACTGTTTCTAAGAGGAAGTAATACAGATGCTACTGAGACTTCACACACCAGTATACTGTCAAAGGCGCAAAGCAAGAAGCCAGAGGGACTTAGAATAATCTGTATCCTTTCAGCAATTATAGGGAAGTTACATCAAAACCATCATGAAATCCCATGAGAATTTGAGGTGTGTTGTTACTGGAGTCCTAGAAGACAAATCTGGCTGGGCATGGAGATAGAGATAGACACATTAGGTCCAAAAAGGAAAGGCAGAAAAAGGATTGTAATCCTAAGTAGCTATGAACTTCAGAGAAGAAAGCAAACAGAATGATCATGGACACTACAAAAGATGCTCATATGGGAAGATGGACACTACACGAAACACTCCTTACCTTATGCTAAAGTAGGAAATAGATGGTTTTGCGTGGTGTCCGTGAGTACTGAAGCATCAGGGTACTATATCTGTAGCACAGATGTGATGAGCATCTCATATAAACACGTTTTCAAACCACTAGTACATGGGGCTCCCTCTCCTCTCGACTTCTTTAGAATTATCAGCATCCCACAAGTCCAATCGAATTCTTTATGCCTTCTGGTATACTTCAGGTATAATTCCTTATGGCATCTTCACATTGTTAACACACACACACACACACACACACACACACACACACACATACACACGGCTCTCTTCCTAAAGGATATAAGAGATAGTTTATTCTGGAGCCATTTTGAGTAACCATGGCCTGGGAACACAAATTGAGGTGACTACGAATTTTATTTTCCAACATGGAAGCAGTTTTGTGACATTTTTATAGTTTTAAAGGACAAAAAAGTCATAGATTGGAAAAGCAAGCCAGGAGGTGCTACTGCTGCTTCTACTAGTTTCCAGGTGCTGCCAGGCAGCTGGGACCGAGCGGTCCTGAGGCTGTGGCTGTGGCTGTGGCTGAGGCGGCTTGGGAACTAGTATCGGTGCGATAAGTGAGCTGATGGCCAAGTGGGGTGAGGGAGATCCGTGCTGGGTCTTGAAGGAGTGGACAGATGCCACCATTAATATCCAGAAAGGCAAACTTAACTTTCTTTTATGAGTAGACCATCAAACTGAGCTGGACAGGTACCTCTAAGTCAGGAGTGTAATACAAAGGACATGTGGAAATCCCCAGTTTGTCTCATGAAAACAGGGTGGATGAAGTGGCAATTAGTGTGCGCCTTGCAAAGTCGAGACTGACACAAATCCCATGGCCTTAATGAAGGAAAAAGGGGTGAAACGTCTAAGAGAAGCAGTGGGGATTTACATCAGCACCCTCAAAACAGAGTTCACTCAGGGCATGATTTTGCCCACAGTGAACGGAGAGTCGGTAGACCCAGTGGGTCCGTCAGCACTAAAGACTGAGGTATGCCAGGCTAAGTCTGCTCCTTCCAAAAGCCAGGCCAAACCTGTTGGTGTCAAAATCCTCACTTGTAAGACTTCCCTTAAAGAGACCTTCCTGACGTCACCAGACAAGCTCTAAAGAATGTTTATCACCTCGGAGCTGGTGCAGGCCTTTCCCCATGCTCCTGCAACCTTAGAAGCAGACAAAGGTGGGACACTCCGCATGGTTGATGGCAACGTCACCGGAGAGTTTACTGATCTGGTCCCTAAGAAACACATCGCTATGAAGCGGCAGTTTAAGCCATGGCTAGAGGGGCACTTTGCTACCATTACCTTGACCTTTGTTGGCAAGAACGGAGAGACAGAGCTGTGCATGAAAGGCCAGAGCATCCCTGCTCCTGAGGAAGAGCGGACGTGGCGAGGCTGGCAACGGTACTACTTTGAGGGCATCAAGCAGACCTTTGGCTGTGGCACTCACTTGTTTTAGGGCCAGCAGCAGGGTTCCAGCCTGTTTGACACTTCAGCCCAACCTGCTCATGATGGGCTTGTGACCACAGGATTGCATCATTCCAGCTGCTAACTTGGGGCTGGGCCCCCCTTCCACATACACCTTGGGTCTGTGCATGTTTTCTGCTGGGTGAGATCTGAGGGTGATTTCTCTTTTATGTGTACAGACACTAAATAAGTAGAATTTTAAAAGAAAAAAAGAAAAGTCATAGATTAAGGCAAATTTAAAATACAATGGTGGGTACAACAGAGAGGTGGGCATAGCCATGATGGGGGAAGGTTTTCTGTGGGCCCAAGATGCTGTCTGATGGCATTCTTGTTGATGGAAGCTAGTATTTGGGGTTACTAGATGTCAAAAGGTTTCTGTTAGTCACAAGATATTAATTCTAACTCAGAGGTGAGCAAAGAATGCCCATGCTGGAGGAGAAGAACGAGCTGAAGATAAGGTAATTAATATAAGATAATTAATACATCTCTGGACGTTTCCCATCCTAGTCTTTCCACAGTACTAAAGTTCTAATCAATCAGTTTCGGCAGACTCAGGTGCTTTCTTTAAAAAAAAATATATATTAATTCTTTGGGAATTTCACATCATGAACCTAATTCTGCTCACCTACTGGTCCCCCCATATCCTCCCCTCACCCCCACAGTGTCCCCACAAAAGAAAAATTTAAAAATCAAACCAAAACAAGCCACAGCAAGCAAGCAAACACACAAACAAAAACAAGAATAAGACAGAACAACTACAAAAAAAAATACTCTTCACTTCTCCATCTTTCCCACCGATCCAACACTTCTTCTTTCATCTTGGTAACGTTGGGAGCCGTGTGTCACATGGTGCGCCCTTTGGTCCAGTCGGCTGTACTAGCAAATGTTCACTGCAATGAGTCACTGGGCTGGTTCAAGAACACTGGTTTCTGGTACACCCACATCACTGGGTCCTCACGGCAACTCCTCCGGGATAGCCTGTGGCCACCCCAAGTCGTGGAGATCCTTCAGGGGTTGTTCCCCAGGGCCAGTTCCTTCCTGAGCTCCAGCAGGTCCTAGATGAGGAAGGGGTTAGGGTGGACCTGGCTGCAAACACAGTTTATTTTCAGGAGTTTCTCTTCACAATACCTACTTAGTTTTGGTTGACTGTCTGTTTGAGTTATTATTGTTCCTTGAGGCAGGATTTTGTGAAGCTCAGGCTAACCTCAAAGTGGCTATGTAGCTGAAGATGACCTAGAACTTCTGATTCTCCTGCCTCTACCACCCAGTGCTGGGGTTATAGACATGGACCACAATGCTTGGTTTATACGGTCCTGAAAATGGAACTTAGGGTCCCCTGCATGGTTAGGCAAGCATTCTACCAACTAAGCTATATCCCAAGCCCGAATTCCTGACCTATTTCTTATGGTGTGCCCGACTCTACACCTACAGCACATGCATGCACACATATACACACAAAAGGAAAAACACCGCCCTGATCTGTGTGCTGTGTGCCTCGTTAAGGCACAGACTCCAGAAGAAGCTGGTATTGTGAGTCTCTGATGTCCTTGCACCCTACTACTGTCCAGTGGGTGCTCAAGAAATGCTTATTGAAAGAAGGAATTTAGGTCATTTCCATTGTAGATGACATGCAGCTATCAGATTCGTCTTATAAAATAAACCCAAGGTATGGGGTAATGGCATCATCACCAAAATACAGTTCTCACCTCAAAGGAGATAAGAGCTAGTTTATTCTAGAGCCAGATATGAATAACCATGGCTGAGGAACATAGATGCAGGTTTCCCAAAAGCCCATGTTCCAATGTGGTAACATATCATGAAATTTTTATAGTAACCAAACAAGAAAATCATAAATTAAGACTTTTGGCTTGGCATGATGGCTCAAGCCTTTAATCCCAGCTCTCAGGAGGCAGAGGCAGGTGGATCTCTGAATTTGAGGCCAGCCTGGTCTACAGAGTGAGTTCCAGGACAGCCAAAGTTACGTAGTATAATCCTTTCTCAAAAACAAATCAACAAAAGAGATTTTAGCAAATAATTACTGCTTCTTTCTGGATTGTTTTGCCTCACTTCTGCAAGGCAGAATAATGAGCGACTCCTATAGATGCCCTGGCCAATACTCCCCAGAACCTGTGAATCTCCTACCTTACACAGTGAGAGAAACTTTGCTAGAATGTGATTTAACGTCTGACTGGGTGAACTGTCATTGCAGGGGTCCTTAAGAGTCAGGAGAGTCTGAAGAAAACTGGCAAAGTGTGTCTTCCCAAGGCTTGAATATCTTTGCATTCATACCCTGGGCTCACCTGGGGGGTACTGACTAGCTGGATCTGGAGGAAGAACTGTGTTGTGGAGGAGCAGGCGGCTTTACAACATAATGGCCCTCCTGAGATGCAAAGCAGGTGATGCCCAGGCTGGCTGCCACTGCCCCCCTCCCACACTTTGAATAGGAAGGCTGACTGATCCTTTCGTTGTCTAGATTCTCTCTCCTTAATCACCTTTGGCCTACTTGACTAAAATATTAGAATCCGTTGGGAGCTCCTTTTTAGAAGCATGTAGATAATTAGAAGATGTTTGCAGAGAAGCCACAAAGACTTGGAGGAGAGCCAATCTGTGGGACAAGTAAAAGCTACAATTATTCCACCATAAGCAGAGATGGCTAAAAGAGGATTTAATAGTGATATGAAAGAAACTGGACAGGCAGCAAGCAGGAAAATGGTAATTAACTATTAACAACTAGGAATCGCCACAAGGATCCCAGTGTTGGAAATGGGGTTCTTTGACTGACAGGAGCCGCAAAGGGCTCTGGTGTCCATCTTGTTGCATTCCTTCATTTGCTAGACTTTGAAACCAAAGCCAAGAGTGACCCCCGAGGAGGTCATCAAATAATGACAGAGGATGATCTAGAATTGGGGCTTAACCTTGTGCACTGAGTGAACCATCTCAGTTGGAGGCTGTGCTGTAAGTAAGTATACAGATTCGGGGGTTGCTCCTGGCTTTGGAGTGATTTAAAATAGAAACTGTCTCCTAGGAAGGTACCTGCTCTAGGCTTTGGTCACATGGGTTATACTGATAGCCGGGGGGCCCCCCCCCCGCCCGCGCCAAACTCATCAAGTGAATACTTAGAATTTGCGTACTTGATCGTGAGCCTGCTATTTAGTTATTTTAAATATTCTTACTAGCATTTTGGAAAATGAATGCATTGAACTCTTCTTCCTCCTAACAGTAAATGCAAAGCAGTCCAAATGCCTTTTGAAGGAGACTGGCTATGTAAGCCATGGTTTATTCCTGTCACGAATTTCTACACAGCTCTGAGAGTGAATAAGCTACCGGAACATGCAGCAAGGCAGCAGAGTATCTCAAGAGAACGTTTCATAGAATTCCACTTCTAGAAAAGCCCAAACTGAGCAAGTTTATTAGTGGCATTATAAGTCTGGGTCAAGGGCTGGGAAAATGGCTCAGTGGGTGGACAAGCATGAGGATCTGAGTTCGAATCCCCAACACAAATGTAAACCACCCGGCATTGTTATGCTTGCCTGTAACCCGAGCATTTTCTTTCCGTGCATGTAGTCTATTAAGCTTTGATGATTTTGGAGAACTAGGCATTCAAAATAGCTGCACCGATAGAGAATCCCTAGAAAAATACTTGCTCTAAAGAGAAAAATGCGTGTTCAGGAATTTGTGTATTTAAATCCCTACTTCCAAACCGAAGGCTATCTATTCTGTATCCTGCTTTCTCGCTGGGCTGGTACAGTCTTTCATGAAAATCCCTGAAGCCAGTATTAGCCCTGTTCCTTCTTGGCCCTTTGTAGTGCTGAAGAATGAAAGAATGGGGTCATTTTTTTTCTCTCTCTCTCAAGCAGCAGCTAGCGATAAATAGTAATTTTGTTCGGAGACAGTTTTGTCATGCCGGGCACATTTCCCTGCGGCAGCCTGGAGTGAGCTGCGGTTCAGTTCAAATGGTGTGAAGTAGTTCAAGGCAAGCATCTGGCCAATCAGAGTCGATCCCAGGGAGCCATGGTTTGCCCGAAGCCACATTCACTTCCTGCCTTTGGTGGTATACAATCAAACTAACTGGCTGGCTAATCTGAAAAGACTTCATCTTGCTAGACAGTGCAGGGAAGATTTGGCATGGCAGAGCCATCGCTGAAGGGGAGTGGGAGTGTGTGTGTGTGTGTGTGTGTGTGTGCATGTGTGTGTGTGTGTGTGTGTGCGCGCGCGTGTGTGTGTGTGTGTGTGTGTGTGTGTGTGTGTGGTGTGCGTGTATGTGCACTTGTGTCTGTCTGTCTGTCTCCTTTCCATAAGAGAATTTAGGTGATGAACTATTCTCTAAGGGACAATGACCTTCTCCCCCTCATCACCAACTCCCTTATCAAGCCGCTTCAGGTTGCCTAATTGTGTGGATATGGTTGATGCTGAGTGCTGGTTTTCCTTTCTAGATTCTGGAACTTTGCCATGGGTAGGCAGAGGATGCTTGTGTGCCCAGCCTGCCTCTTAAATGGGCTTCTCTGGGTAGAACTTTTATATAGGGCAGAGCATGCCAGATATCAGCTTTCCTGGGAGGGAGAGGGCAGAAGAAAGTCTGCATACGGGTCCTCCTGGGCTCTGCGCCATGTTTTCCCCTTAGGATCTGTTGGTACACCATTATGCATTTGCTGTAATAAACACTGCCTGGAAGTTCAAGGTGCTGGGTCCTGTGAAGTCTTCTATGAAATCTTTGTGCATAGGGTGGTCTTGGGGACAAACACAGGAAACAGCGTTTCAACTTTTCTTTCTCCTAGCACACATGTGGTCGGAAGGTACCAGGTGTGCTGCAGAGGAAACGAGAACAAGGTGTGGAATGGCGGGTCCCTTGGGGGTCACAGTCATAAATTCACTGACTCGTTGATGCAGGAACCCCATTTTTACATATGTTCTGTACCCATGCCCGTACCATGTGATGTCTATACAAAGTGAAGTTGTAATCTCCATCCCCAAACTTTAGTAACAAAACACCAG